TAAAATTCCCACACTGAGACCTTACCCGCTCTTCCTTTACTTTTCCTTCTTTTCCTCCCTTTTTCCTCCTAGCCATATGCATTCTTCTTCTCTTTTCGCCAAAATTCCTAAGTATTTCTATATATATGGTAATCATATATAACAATCCTAGTGGAGACTCCACTACACCCCCTCCTCTCATCTAGCCCCCCTTCCCCCAATCTTTCCCATTTTACCATCTACACCATTCATTCCAAGTTAGTGGAGAGCCCATTAACTTTTGTGTGTGTATATATATATATATATATACTCAGCTGTCTGAAATGTCTGATGAGGGAGGCTGGGTCGGTCTTTCCATCCAAAAGTTTGAAATTCGGGATGGTGAATATACTTGGGATACGCCCCCTTTCAATCCATAAAGTAAAAGGAGATGACTCCGAGCCGTCACCGTATTCTCCAGTCGCCCTTCTGGCTAGGGACGACCTCTGCTCTGGCCTCTTCAAACAGTTGTTCAGTTGTTCGGTGATGTACTGCTTTCATGAGTCCTCCTGGATTCGAGGTCTTTTCAGTTGGTACTTAACTTCATCAGCATTTTTGGTTCTGTCGTGTTTCCTTGTTGGACTTCCTCTCTAGTTTTCCCTTTCGCGCTTCTCTTTCCTGGTCATATCCTTCAGCTTGGTCTTGAGTTCCTCATTCTCTTTTATTAGATCTTTTTCCTTGGCATAGGATTTCTTGAATAGCTTATCATGCGCATCANCCGGATTTCTTATCGAAATTCTTCAAGTGCACTACTATATTTTTGACACTACACTAAATTAAAATCACTCAAACTTTATTTTAGTTTACTCTTTTGGAAATCATGGAAACCAAGTATTCTTACGTTTTATTTATTTCCATAAAACCATGAAAATGTAAACGAAAACATGTTATTTTTTACCTTAAATGGGGATGATAATCAACCTAAAATTCCCACACTGAGACCTTACCCGCTCTTCCTTTACTTTTCCTTCTTTTCCTCCCTTTTTCCTCCTAGCCATATGCATTCTTCTTCTCTTTTCGCCAAAATTCCTAAGTATTTCTATATATATGGTAATCATATATAACAATCCTAGTGGAGACTCCACTACACCCCTCCTCTCATCTAGCCCCCCTTCCCCCAATCTTTCCCATTTTACCATCTACACCATTCATTCCAAGTTAGTGGAGAGCCCATTAACTTTTGTGTGTGTATATATATATATATATATACTCAGCTGTCTGAAATGTCTGATGAGGGAGGCTGGGTCGGTCTTTCCATCCAAAAGTTTGAAATTCGGGATGGTGAATATACTTTGGGATACGCCCCCTTTCAATCCATAAAGTAAAAGGAGATGACTCCGAGCCGTCACCGTATTCTCCAGTCGCCCTTCTGGCTAGGGACGACCTCTGCTCTGGCCTCTTCAAACAGTTGTTCAGTTGTTCGGTGATGTACTGCTTTCATGAGTCCTCCTGGATTCGAGGTCTTTTCAGTTGGTACTTAACTTCATCAGCATTTTTGGTTCTGTCGTGTTTCCTTGTTGGACTTCCTCTCTAGTTTTCCCTTTCGCGCTTCTCTTTCCTGGTCATATCCTTTAGCTTGGTCTTGAGTTCCTCATTCTCTTTTATTAGATCTTTTTCCTTGGCATAGGATTTCTTGAATAGCTTATCATGCGCATCAAAGTCAGTCCTGCAAGGATTGGACCAACTTTGCCGAGGAGTGGTTCTCCCTCTCGGCACGGAGGGATTCACCACGATCTACAATTTGCTGGTTCTAATTCTTGGATGGTTTGAAACTTGTAGAGGATACCTCATCATCCTCGAGGGGTCTAGATGGGCTTTTGTTGACATGCAACCTAACGTTGCTATCAGATGAAAGCGATACTGAATCAGAATTACCCAAGGCAAAACTGCCTACAGGTGATCCAATGGCACTTTTGAGTCTTGACATTGTAGTTTTTTGTTTCGATTGAATGAAATCTTCCCAAAGACGACGCCAAAAAATGTAAAGAGGCAAAACATGAAATTACCTCGATGGAATATGACTAGATAATTTGAGAAAAGAGAGTTTCTGAACTTGATCTCTTAGTCTCGTCTTCTTGCAAAATGAGCAAACTGTCCAAGATCGAATTGTTTCGATCGAAGGCACTCCGATGCTTAAGTCAGTAATGGATCTAATTGAATTGCAGATAGACAAGTAGAGTTCAGCGTACCTTTCACCTTGACTCTTTTTGCTTTTTATAGACCCTGTTCAGTTAGGGTTTCCATAAATTTTGATTCAAGGTGGCACACCTTCCTCCAATTAAGCGATTCAGTTTGGAGAGATGTTGAAATCTCTCTGACAGTTTCATTGGCCTATAATTAAGCTTATGAGCTTATCTTGGACACCTAATTTTTTGGCAAATCTGTATCTTTCCATTTACTGTTTCAAAACAACTTGGTCAGGACAAGGGTCGAGCTCTTTCGTTACTTACCGAACACCTTGAACACCATGGTTCGGTAAGGGCTGAGCTCTTTCATTGCTTGTCGAACAAATTGATCAGTTCAGCTAGGCTTGTTTGACTGATATTGTCCTCACGTGCCTTGTCTTGTCATCTTCACGTGGGTTCATTTAATGTCATAACACGTCTAATAATAAGAGTCACCCCCTTCAGTACCTATATCACTCACTCAATTTCTCAAATTAAACCCAAATTTTTTTATTGAGATTTACACGTTATCCTCTGTATTTCCGATATCTCACTTTTTAATTTATAGACGAGTTTAACTTTTACGAGATAAATTAACATTCATATTCCTAATATTAAAATGCCTATCATGCATGCTCGGCTCTCACAATAGTAATGTACTTCAAAAAAGAAACCTAGTGTTTCTCTATTGCCATAGCGGTGTGTTATATCTAGAGGCAATGGCGAGAGTTCAGACAACTAATTTTTGCACAGTCCAACTGAGTTGTCTTTATGGAATGAGTTGTTTGAGTTGGCGTGAGTTTCTGGGTGCCTACACACTTCATTTTATCTTTTGCTTTATATGGATGTCAAGGTTTTGGAGAAGGTAAGAGAGATGTTACCTTATGGGGATGTGCTTTTCCAACCATTGTTTGGGTTATTTGGTTGGAAAAGAATTTGAGCTTTTGTGAGAACAATGTTAAGGTGATTGATAGTCTAAGGGATCAGATTTACTTCTAGGCTTATTTTTTGCCTTAGGTTTGAAGGATTTTTGAGAATGTTCCTCTTTTGGTATTATTGCAAGTTGGAATGCGTCACTTGGCATTTGATGAGGCTTTCTGCTCCTTGCAGAGCCATGATTCTGTTTATGGCTTTTGTTGTGGTATCTGGTTGGACAACTTGTCCACCTTTGTTTCGGCTCGTGTAATACTTTAATATATTAGCAAAAAGATTCAATTTCTTATTCAAAAAATGGATTGTCCTTCATTGTCTCTACACATGGTCGTCGACATTCATATTATTTTCTTCTTTTCCTCATTCTTTAATTGTGTATTTTATTCATGCCATATAGCATGGCATAATGGGTATTTGAGCTCAAGGAAGCGCATGCTATTTTAAGTTTTAGAAAAAAATTGGATAAAATACACCTTTTTTGTTGCTCAAAATGCAAATTTTGACTTACGTATAATTAAATCCATAATTTGAAGACTTCAAACATTTTAGCCTTTTGACCAATGATGGTGTAAATAATTGAAAAATTATTTTCCTCAACTGGAGTAGTCCTTGAAAAAAAATACTTTTCTTTTTTTAGTTGGTTTCAAGCTATACCAACCATAGTTATCAAAATTGTACGATTCGTATAATTTGGTTTGATACATGCACAAAATGATTAATATCTTATATGAGAATCGTTTTTAGAGTTGAATTGCATTTGAATCGTACGATTCGATTCATATCGCACGAATCACACGATTCGGTCACTTTTTTTTAAAACTGAAATTTTTAGCAAAACGACGTCGTTTTATTTGAAAAGGAACTTACCCCCTAATAAAACCTCAATCTATTTACTTGTTCTCTCTCACATCGTCTAAAGCTCACCTTGCGTTGTTTGAAACTAAAGGTCACAACTAAATCTCTCGCATCATCAACTAAAGGTATGCCTCCTGCTTCTCCTCTTCTTTTTAACAGTAAGCAAGCTCTAGCATATTTTTTTTTTACATTGGATTTTTCTATCTCCTGCCACCATATTTTATAATAAAATTTGATTTTTATTCTCAATTATTTCGTGGATAGTTTGTTAGATTGTAATTTTTTATTTCAAAATGTTGGCTTGTATGTTTTCTTTCAAACAATTTTCTTATTTGTTTTTTTTTCATTCATGTTTGTAACCTAATTTGTATTGGGTATNAATTTGATTTTTATTCTCAATTATTTCGTGGATAGTTTGTTAGATTGTAATTTTTTGTATTGGGTGTCACTGTTTTGGTTCTTAAATAGCCATGGTTCTTTAATGATTTTTTTTTTTCAAATTATTGAAGATAAAAATGAAACAAAAGATAACATCTTTTCATTTAGACGACATGATTATATCAATTGATTATTTTTAGAATGTAATAATATTAAATATTCAATATTTTGCCTATTTTAAATATGTATATATTATTTTTGATTTTTGTTCAAATTTTGTGTCGAATCTCATGATTCACGATTCTCAAATGTAGGATTTTAATTTTCGATACGAATCGCGATTTGACAACTATGAGCTCTGACTTCCTTGTTTCCTTTCTTCTTGAACAACAAAATGAAGTTCACCTTGTAAAGATCGACTGTTGTTCTTATGGAGAGCTATTTCTGGTAGCTTGTCTCTCTAAATTCTATATTGTAAAAGTTGAAGGTTTTGTTGAATAAGTAATTTTATTTGAATATTCATTGTTGTTTCCCCTTTTTTTGACCTATGAATGATAATAGGTGTTTTCAAGATATAAGATTTTTTTTTTGTCACTTTATTGAACTAATGTTTATTCCATTTATTTAATGACAGTTGTTTAACTTTGCAGAATGCCTATTATCGACAAGTTTAAAGATATGGGAACTGTTGTTATGGGCAAAGTAGAATCTGGTAGCATTAGTGAAGGTGACAATTTGTTAGTCATGCCAAATAAGGTACTTTCTTCAACTTCCCTTTTTTTTAAATTTATTATCTATGAACTTGTGTGTATTTAGACTAGAGTAATTTATGTGTTCATCTACAGGCTCAAGTGAAAGTCCTTGCCATATTTTGTGATGAAGATAAAGTTAGGCAAGCTGGACCTGGTGAGAATTTACGGGTCAGGTTATCTGGGATTGAAGAAGATGACATCTTATCGGGATTTGTCCTGTCGGGTGTTGGTAGGTCCTCTTAAATTGTATTCCTATGGTCAAGAAAGATTTTGTCTAGATTTTTCTTATATCTTCTTACTTAGCATGAACAACGAAGGACTATTTATTTTTTTATTTTGGATTTGTGTAGCTTAAAAATATAGTGTCTTGCTTATGTTGACTTGTGTTTGGTAATGGCATTGTTCTCAAGTAACTATATTTTGAGTTAAGCACTAAAGAAGTGAAAGCGAGTAGCCTATGTGAGTCTAATATCGTTTAATTAATTTGGAGTTGGACAAATAAGAAATCATAAAGATATATATATTTTTACATTCAAATTATGGGGAGAGGTCTTCGAAAGCCTTCCCTCTTTATTTGTTTTATTCCTCTATTTTTTTTATTTTTTAAATTAAAAGACAGTTTTATTCAACCAAATATTATCACATGATGCCTATAGCCACTCCTCCCTACTTTCCATGCCTTCAATTTCTCCCTCCCTCTTTCTTTTTAACTTCTCATCGTTCTCTTTCTTCTCTCTAACATTATGGCACAAATTAAGTGGGTTTGGGGGGAGGGGGGGATTTTGAGATGGGGTGGAGATGTAAATCTCGTGCATCATATAAGTCTTCCAGTTTTATAAAGCAAAAGGGAACAAACCCATGCCCGTTGAACCAGCCAACTAGCGGTAATGTGTAATTTCTATGGAACCTATAGTGTTACTCATGTTGCATATAAACGATGTTCCACATGTCATATTAAATGCACATTTGCTATCAGTGTCAAAATAAATGTGATATTCAATTAAACTCCTGTCTCGTGTTTCATGACTATTGAACTGTTTATGCATCCATGGAAAGTGTTGAAAAGTGAAAATTGTAAGTGTTTGACCATTCAATCCAAAGTCCAACCGCCAATGAGTGGAGAGGTCCTTAAGGCTCAAAGTAGTAATTTGAGATGTGATATTTTATCCGCGTAGAACACTCTTGCCACTCCCCCCGTGCTTGTGATGCCAACTTGCACATAGAAAGATAAATAGGTATAACAAATGCACTTATGGCACGGAGAAAGAGGAATTCAATTACCGAATCAATGAAAATGAGTCTTGCTCTAATTTTCCCCAAGTCTAGATCTGATAACTCGTAAAAGCATCTAACTCAACACCAATTGTCAATGAGTGGAGGAACTCTTTATTGTTATAAATCAACCTTGCACGACTCTAATCACTTGATTTTGGAAACAAGCTCTATTTAGACCCTCCTTCATGGGAGATTTGGCCCGCACGTGAGTCAACTGTCAAATAAACAATGGGAAACTTATGGTTGCTAATGAAGATAGTCGGGTGAGATGTTGAGAGGTTTGGGGAAAAGCAAGAGGGGGGTGATGAGAGAATTGTTCAGATGTGGTTGTTATTCAAGGTATAGAAAGGAAGTGATTGATAGGGCTATTATAAAAAGTGAGGGGATCTTAGCATAGAGAATGGACTTTCTTGCCTTGTGAAAGTTGAGAAAGAGTGTTAATTAACTTGGGATGAGAGAGTATTGAAAGGTGTTGAAATTGTTCTAGGTAATTTTTCAGTTGTGTAAATTTTAAGGGACCCGAAGATGGTGATTGATGGCTAACTGAAATATATGGACCAAATCATCATAGGATGAGAGTCATTGTGGGAGGAGTTGTATAACACTGATAGGTTTTGTAGTTCTAAAGGGATCCCCCAAGTGGGGGATGTTAATGTTGTTAGTTGTGTATCTAAGTGGATGAATGGTATTAGGAGCACTACTAGCATATGAAGTTTGATAGTTTAATTAGAGAGTGTTGCCTAGTTGACCATCCATGCTTGGTCCAATTTTTAGGAAACTTGATATGTAGTAGATTGGACTAGTTTCTTTACTCAACTGGATGGGACGAGCTTTCCCCTTGTGAGGCAAGTGGTTTTGATTAGGGATATTGCTGATCATTGCCCATTCTCTTGTGTCAACTATTCTTTTAAATGGGGTTCAGTGCCTTTTAGGTTTGAGAACATTGGCACTGAACATCATTCCATTGCTATGAACTTTGAAGTGTGGTGGTCTAAAACTGTGTTGAATGGGAGGGTTTTAGATTCATGCAAAAACTAAAATTGATGAAGTAATATTTGAAAGAGTGGGACAACAATGGTTTTGTGACATCAGATTAGAGAAGTGCATTTTGAAAAGAACTAAGAACATAGATTGTTTAGAATCGACAAGTGGGATGGAAGAAAATTTGAGAATGGAACAGTGTGATCTTAGAATTAAGTTTAAACATGTGTTGTTGAAAGGGTCATTAGTTGGAGATAGTAAGATGGGTTAAGGAGGGTGATAATAAACCAAGTTATTTTATAGAATTACAATTGGAAAATTGAAGAAGAAAGTGATCTCTAAGATATAATGAGCCGGGAGAAGTGATGGAGAGTGAGAGAGAGAGAGTGAGAGTGATGTTGATTAAGAAGGGGAAGAATTAGGGGATGAGGAGAGCAGAAGAAGGGAATGAGAATTAATAAGAAAGTGGAGAACCTGGGGAGTAAATAATATCAATATTTAATAATAATCAAAATCAGCCAAAACAAATACCTCATCCCTTAAATATATATATAGAGAGTATAAACCCTAAAGCAAATAAATAGTTAAAATGACAAATAACTCATAATCCCTACGTTTATGCCTTCTATAATGAAAAACAATTCAATTCCCATCAGAGTCTTATTGTAAGTGCAATTGTGAGTTATATTTTAAACTGTACTCTTTCGAGGTTGCAACTGGTAGGTTTCTTGAGGGGTTGGATTGCTATCTTGAGGGGTTGTAGTGTTTGAGTTGGGTGGAGATAAATCCTTGGGTCTTGATGGTTGCATTGTGATTGTCTTGCAAAATGTTGGAATGCTACAGAAAGGGATTTTATGAATGTTTTGATGGAGTTTTTCTAGAATGGAATTGTGAATTCATATATGGATGCCACATTTATTTGTCTTGTTCCTAAGAAAGAGCAACTACCTATGGTAAATGATTTTTGGCTTGTGAGAATTGTGTCTACTCTTTATAAGCTTTTGGCTATAGTTATTTTGAGCAGAGGGGAAGCGCTAACTGACACTATTTCGATCTCTCAAGGAGCTTTTGTTTTGCGTAGCCAAATATTGAATGTGGTGGTAGGTGCTTGTTGCTAATGAGATTGTTAAGGAATATAAGAAAATGAGGGTTTTGTTTTCCGGGTGACTTTTTAAAAAAGCATTTGCTTTAAACGATTATGTGACGGTGAAAGGTTTTGATTTAAGATGAGTTAGTTGACTAAGGGTTGTTTAGAATTTTTTTGTCATTACTAATAGTATCCAAAAGAAAGACTGTTTTAAGAATATTAAAGGTCTTAGCCAAGATATCCTCTCTCCTTTTCTTTTTCCTTTAGTAGTTTGACATTTTGAATAGAAAGGAGGAGAGGGCTAGTCATTGAAGGCTTTAGAAATGAGAGGGAAAATAACTAACTCATTTACAATATTTTGATGACACTATTTTGTTTTGTGATGGAAATAAAATAAATATTCATTCACTTTCTTTAATTCTTAAATGTTTTGAATTTGTGTTGGGAGTTAAAATGAACTCGTCTGAGAGTGCAATTACAGGAATTAACGTGCAACATGACAAGCTGGTTAGATTGGTCGAAGCTTTAGGATGTTCTATTTGGGATTAACTTTGGGGGTAATCCAAATCCCATAGGCTTTTGGGTACCGAAAAATCAAAAGATTGAAAAGAGGCTTGAGGGGTGGGAGAAAACATTTTTATGTATGAGGTGGATTCACTTTAATTCATTTAGTGCTTGAGAGTATTCACATTTTTTATTTCTCTTTTTAGGATTTCTTTGAAGGGTATGAAAAGAATTGAGAAGTCGATGAGATATTTTTTATGGGAGAGTAATGGAGAAGCCAAGAAAGTTCATATGGCAAGATGGAATTTGGTGTCCAGCTCTTAAGATTAAGGATGGTCTTGCTTGTGGTATTTTGAAAGTTAAGGAATATTTCCTTGCTTGCAAAATAGTTATGGAGATTCCTTATTGAGATGTAATGTATGACATTCTGCGATTAAAAGTAAATGAGATTTTAAGAAAACGGGTGAGATTCTAAAGTGATCAAAGAGAGTGTGTTCTTGTTGTCCTTGCAAGTTCATTCCATAAACCGAGGGGAAGGATTAAGAATCTACCCGGTGTGAGATATCACATTGTTTGAGGAATCCTAGATGCTGTCAGAGTGAATGATCGTCAACAAAAGGGCGTTCTAGTGCATTGTCTATATTTCTAAATTTGTTGATGGTTGTGGAAAGAGGATTTGATTTTGAGAGGAAGTTTTTTTCCTAGGGTTGGGGGAGGGGAGGATTGCCTTTTACATCCATGTTCCCTTGTTTATATTGTTCTTTCTGGAGTTCCCATTTCAGCTATTGCCAGTATGATCTCTTCTTTTTGATTCCTAATTTGTTGGAACTTCCATTTCTTTAAGAATTTCAATGATAAAGTTCTTGAAATATATTCTCTTTTGGGTATTCTTTATAAGCTTGTGTTATATCAGTCTTTTGTGGATTGTAGAATATGGACCATCTCTTAATGTAGAGAGTTTTCTTACGAGTCTTTCTTTGAACCTCTTATTGAGAAAAGTCCCAATATGATATGGAAGTTTATGGTCTCTTTAGAGTTTCAAGTATTCACATGGGTACTTGCACATAAAAAACTTAATACCAATGATTTGTTCCAAAAAAAGATTATCTTATTTTCTTTTTCCGCAATGGTGCATTCTTTGTAAAAATGGAGAGAAACTTGTGGACCATCTACTTTTGCATTGTCTTTTTATTTCTAGTTTGTGGACCAGGTTTTAGGCAGTGTTTGAATTCATTTGGGTGTCTCTTAGAGATTCAGAGTGGATTTTGGTTATTGATTTTAAGGGTTTTTCTTCAAACTACAAAGCTAAGATTTTATGGAGATGTGTGCTTTTTTGGCATTGTTTTGGATGACATCTCTTTGGGCTTCTACGACTAAAGATTTGGAAGGAATTTCCCTTTTTTTAGTAAAGATCATTGGGCTAAATATTAAACGAGACCCAAGTAATATTTATTATAATAATGTAGATGGTGTTAAATATTTAGCAAAACATTCAAATGTATACATTTGAAAAATCACATTTCTTATCTTTTGAGATGCAAAAGTATGTATTATGGTTTTATATTCAAGTTTTGTGCCGAATAGCTCCATTAATCGAAGTTGAGTTTAGTGTTTAAATGTAAGTAACTATGTCTTCGTTTAAAGAGATGGAGAAATAATTGGAATTGATGTAAGTGGGAACTTATCTATTTTGAATTATCTAGAATGAATTAGGTGGCGTTGAAGATTACAGAAAAGTTAGAGTCATTTTTAAATGAGAGAATTTAGTAAGTCAATTATGATTGTAATTAGTGCTTGATACTGAGCTTCTCTTTTTTTTTTTTTTTTTTACTTAAGTCTTTCCGTCCATCTGTGCATTTCAAAAAAAAAAAAAAAAGCAAAAAATCTAATTCATAAAAAATGTTCTAATTCATAATGATTATGATTGCAAGGCATCAAGAATAGTGTATTACAAGAAAATACGATGTTTTCTATTTTAAATAAAACTTGATTGTGACCAAAAACCCAAATTGAAATCTGAGCCTTAATTTCTTTTTAACCAATTCTTGAAATTTTATTTTTTAGGGCCTCAAGTTTCTCTTCTAATTTGACGAGCCGTAGGCAGTCACCTTAGTAGCCTATGCCTAGGGCCGACCCTGCGCAAATATGGTTCAAGCAGTCAACCCTGAGCAATTATGTTTCAAACCGTCATGTTAGTAGTCCATGCTTCAGTCAATAGGTAGCCGACCCTTGCACAAATATGCTTCAAGGTATTGGTTGATACTGTCCGAGTCGCTGGGTCGACTTTCGGATACAACTCAACACAACACCTATCGCAAATATCAATACCTATTGACTGAGTCGGATATGACTCAACACATTTCAATTCAATATTGTTCCATGTTACATATAAATGTCTCAAAGGATTGGGTCAACCTCGAGTTGCCAAGTTATTATTACCGAATTGAACCATGATACTGTTCCATATTATGTATAAATCCCATGTCTCACAGTACTCGACTGAGGCACCCGAGACATATCCTAAACAATCTTGAGTTGCCGAGTGATCATCATTGAATTGACCAATACCATGTTGCGACAATGCAATATGACTTGAATTAGTCGTCTTTAATGTATTCTCTTAGGTTGTATTCACTGATATTATTCCACGATGCTATGACCGATGGTCTTAAAGGCCTTTGAGCCTTGAACTATGTGCACAAAGCTCATATATAGATTGAGGCCTGTCATTTTTCCACTGTGGGACAACCTCTAATAAAAAAGAATGGAAAATGTAACAGCTCTATACAAACAATTTTTAATGATTTTTTTTATTGTTGTTTTCTATATATTTGGCACTGATGCTTTTGGATGTTCTATTGTGTCTCCATGTTTGCAGCAAAGTCAATACCTTCAGTGTCTGAATTTGTTGCCCAGTTGCAGATCCTGGAGTTGCTGGACAATGTGTGCATTCGGATTTTAATGCCTTTTTCCCTCTTTCAAACTCCCATATGTTCTCATTTTAATATGTGTGCACACTCTGCGTCTTATGTAAATTATTTCTAATTGGCTTTGCTGTTGTGTTAGGCAATTTTTACTGCTGGCTACAAGGCTGTGTTGCACATTCATGCTGTGGTAGAGGAATGTGAGATAGTTGAGCTGATGCAGCAGATAGATCCAAAGTCAAAAAAACCAATGAAAAAGAAACCACTCTTTGTGAAGAATGGTGCTGTTGTTGTATGCCGCATTCAGGTTTGTTTCATTCTTGATTACTAATGTTCATTGGGATAAACCTGTTTGTAATTCTGACGAATCCTGTGAGTATTTTTTTTTCCCTGTTAAATTGTATACTAATACATTGGTTTATCCTCATATAGTTGTGTCATAGGCTGTGTTTCATAAATAACCTGTATGTATCATGGTGGAGAAAATGTATACAGTTTGTGAATTGTATAGGATTTTTCCTTAATGATAGCATTGCTTTCCTTGTTATGTTTCACATTTTCCTGCCTAATTCTCATCATCCCTCCACACCTTTGGTACCTTCTTCCTCCGGGATGGGGTGTAGGAATGCAAATTAACCGAGCTGAGCAGAATAATCAACTGTTCAGACTCGGCTCATATGTCTGGAAAAATGTTCAGACTGACTTTGCATGCACTTTAAGCACTATGTTCAAACTCTGTTCATTACTATTTCTCCAAGCTTGATCTCGGCTTGACTCAGCTATGCACATTCCATTTAATAGAAGCTAAGACAAGCCAGAACCACAAGTAATGAGGAAAGGAAAGCCCAACTAAAGTCCCTTTTTATGGGTTGCCCATGCTTCTCTTCTTTTAATCTGATGTGGGATTGGTAATAAGATGAAGCAATACAACCTTGAATTTGTTCTTTCCTGCTACACGTTCTTTTATATTTGGTGTGGGATTAGTGCACCCAAGGCTTTTAAAAATGCACAGTTACTCTTTCCTTTTCTTTACCCAGACATCCCCACATAGACGCAAGGATTTATTAATAAAGTACATAAATACTGTATGTTGTGTATCTGGGATACGTGTTACCTATTTCCTCCAATATACATATCTTTCTCCCTCTTTTATCTTTGTAATTCAAATATTCACAACTTCATTCATGTCATATATATATACTAGCAATTGCCAATGCCTAAAGGCACTATGTACAAACAAAAAATCTCAAATAATTGTCAGTAATTGACGGCCCAATCTTTTTTTATTCCTTGAACAATTTACCCAATCTTGAACTATTCCCCAAAGCAATGATATGTCCAAATTTCTAATATAGTGCAAAATTAAATCCAAAAATATATAATAAACCAACCACAAAAATAAAATTTTTGAAGTCACAAAATAGTCATACATTCTCAATATCAACATAATCCAATTTCAAAACTCAAAAAAAATTCACCTCAATATCTCCTAAGTAAAGTAAGAATAACAAATTATTAAGAAAAAATATTTTAGATATGAATCATTAGCGAGGTAGCTTGATTGTAGATTGAAAACACCGCGTGAAATTAGAATAAAAATAAATAACAGTTTTACATACACATGGTTGCATGACTGTGGTAATTAGTTTAATTATATACGTGGAAAAATAACAAACCAAGGTTGAAAACAATGTTAATTTCTCTATACACATGATTGCATGACTATGGCAATTAGGTTCAATACTTCAGAATGATCATGTTGGGCAATATTTTCTAGTTATGATGGATCCCCAACCCAAAAAAAAAAAAATGCACATATAGCAAAAAACATGTGCATCCATATCATCTCATACTAAGTCTTGCAGCGGAAAAAATCAAAAACAAAATACAAGAGGGCAGTGGGGAAGAGTCAAAAGCATCATGGGTTTACACCTAAGATACAATACAAACAAACAATGACCAATACATAAGCATATCTACATATAGGCACCACATTTTATACTAACCGGTCATGGGAACGGGGGATCCACAAAGTAATCTACCCAATCCCTCCATATAACCCACTACAATTTTCAATAAAAATACAAATCTACCCAATGCAAGGCATTAATATTCCAAGATCACAACCATTGTAAACAAAAAACAATGTACCCAACACAACACTGAACTTCTCAAACAAATTATTGAAATTAAGCAACTCTTACAATTTTGCTAAGATCAAGGCCAAATATAAAATCCTGAAAAATCAACTCAGATTATCAATGGATGTTGTGATAGAAATCAAGAAAATAGTGGAAATAAAAAAAAAAAAAAAAAGATCCACTGATAGAATCACATGAAAAACTTTACCACCACAAAATATTTCAAAACGTAACCAGCCCATCAGTTACTCGATGTCCGACTCAATCTACCAAAGAACATAATAACTACAAATGTTTGACTAAAAATAACATAATAACAAATGCCAAGAGCAGTCTTACCAACACAACATAGTGCAAATGTTTCAATATATTCAATGTAATTGAATTTAGTATAGCATCACATGATGGAAAAAGTTGTGCTCAAGTTCAATTGCCCTCTAGCTAAACAATTTAGAACTTCAGCAAAAAGTAAAAATATAAAATTGACAGATCCTTTACATCTTGCAATAGAGTTCCGTCTTGTGTGATCGTAACTCAAAATCCTCAACCACAATATCACAACCATGAACCTATATTTAGAAAAACAGAACAATAGCTTGGTCATAACTTCCATCATTGGTATCTAAGGTGATGAAATCTAGAAGAGGAATGAAAGGGTTTATTTCAACGAGGAAGGATGAATTGGTAGTTTAGACGATTTGGAAGATATAATCGGAGGACATGCAAGAATCAAAATTTTGTTTCGGTATATTATTTTGGTCATCTAGAAAACGGAAACGTTTCGACATGTTTTGAAAATATTTCGACTCGTTTCGAAGACATAATAAAAAAAATAAAAAATTTAAGAATTATTTTTCTAAAACATTGGTCAAAATATATCAAATTATATTGAAATTTAATACCTTGAAACATTCCAAAACAATTGTGCAAATGAATTGAAATTTTATAAAACATCTTGAAATGTTTTGGAATATTTCGAAATATTAGAATTTCGATTTCATCACTGATTCGTTTCGGTCTTATTGGAAATAAAAATGTTTTAGATGTTTTAACCGTTTTGAAACAATATTTTGATCCTTGAGGACATGTATGGTTAGATTACTTTTGTAAATTTGGTGGAATTTGACATATCTTAACCAAACCCTTCGCATAAGCTCGATGCGCACTTGTATGGTCTTTAGTTGTATATACGTTGTGTGTTGTGTGCAGATGTTTTTTAATGAGAGAATAGGAGGTACTTGAGAGTGGCAGAGATTGATGCAATTAAGGCATTTTGTCGAACAACTTAAAGGCCCCAAAGCCACTTCAACAATCACATCTTGCTATAAAGCCTATTTATGAGATAGAGAGTGTGTGTATGTGTGTGTGTGAGAGAGAGAGAGGGGAATCCACCCACCTTGCTGCCCATATTCATAATGCCATTTCAACAATGGCCGCTTGTTATTCTAAGTGTGGAAGAGGAAGGGAGGGGGAATTCGCCCACCTTGCCATTCAGTGTGTGTTGTGCATGCTGGTCTGTATGTGTTCTGTGTGCGTGTGTTATTTGTTGAAAGAGGGCGCGGGAGGGGGAGCCTGACGAGGATACCTCGATGGTGGGTGTGTCCTCAATATTGCCAAATGATTTGGTCTAAGGATCTGGCCTGAGGCATTGATCTGGTCACTAGTTAGAGGAAGAAAAAGGAGGCGTAAATCTAGTTCCTAGTTGAGAGAGAGAGAAAGATAAACATTTAGCGTGCAAGAGAGAGAGTTTGCACATAAGATGGGCGAGAATCTAAAAATTCATCAAGTTTATATCAGTCTTCAAATCAAATTTTAAAAAAAAATTAATACAATTTGAATCGTGAAAAACAAAAGTTATTTTTATGTCTCTAATGGATTTGAAATTCTTATTCTTATTATTATTATATATTTTATGTAGGTATATGAGCTCAGTTTGTCCCCGAGCAGGAGTTGGACAAGGCATTTTTTGGATTGATTCATTTATTTAACAAGTTTTAAAATGAGGCTCGATCTTGGTCTATTTTGTAAATGAAATAACTTAAACGAGCTCCAATAAGAGCCGATCTTGAGCTGCCCATGATCAACTTGGTTCATTTGTAGCTCCGGTGGGATGTGTGGTGGGGGGTGGTTTTATTTTTGTTTTTTCTTTGGGAGAGCAAAGGAAGGGCCATTGTTTGGGGGAATTTTAATGACAAAGCTATCCTACTGTTCTCCGAATCATTTTCAGATTTCCAACATCATTCCTTCTATTTTTAGTTGAGTTTTATGACAGTGGAATCATAGATCCTTGATTATAGTATTTTTTTTATTCTAACTTGGAGAGTTTATCTCCTGCTAAAATGTGATTCCCAGGTGAATAACCTGATATCCGTTGAGAATTTTTCCGATTTTCCACAGCTTGGAAGGTTCACTCTTCGCACCGAAGGTGACAAAGTGAATTTGTATTTTTGAACAGATGCATGTAGGGTTGTTTTCGTTCTTTCCTCTCCCCCGATTGTGACAACACAAGTATAAATATCTTTCTCAGGAAAAACTGTTGCAGTAGGAAAAGTTACTGGCCTTGCTTCCGTAGATGATAGTGCTTAAAAATAATCTCACATGAGAGGTAAAGACTTATTTTCCCTTCAATATGAAATTATTTGTCGTTCTTGTGGTTTTATATTTGTTGTAGCTGTTGTATTAGCAATGTCATAAAACTTTGCTGACTTGTCTCTGTTACCTTATTCGATCGTCTCTTGTTTACCATTGATGTCAAGTTTAGAGCAGAGTGTTGAGATACTCCAGAAGAAAACTGCTTTTCCTTCTGCCTTGGAAATTTTTGTATAGCATCTAACAGTTAGTCCTGTATCTGATGGTCCACCTTTTGATTTTGATTTTCATTTCTATGATGGTTGCTATCAAATGTTGAAAAACGCAAGTGGGAGGTGTAGAAAAAGGTCTGATTTATGTGTTTGTGTTCCGATTAAGCAGTATGAGCTTAATGGCTGTGCAAGATTCTGCCTAAAAGTGGTTGACTGGGTGTTGAATTGAAGCGTTTTGGCGGTGCCTGGTTTTTTCATTTTAACAGCTTTACCTATTGGCATATGTGTTGGGCGTTGATATACCCACTGCATTGAACTTACATGCTGATTTGTTAATGTGTGCTTGATAGTCTTTGGTTTATGCTTGAGTAGGGTTTGGGAGGGGTGTTTGTTGTAACCATGACATTTTTATTTTGGGTCTTGATGTGCGGGGACTGCAATTTTTAAACTCTGACCTTTCGACTTTATCTTAGACTTGGTTTAGTGATATATTGAGCCTTGTTGTAGTTCACTAAAGATCGTCATGTGAATAACCATCCATTTGCTTGTTTCCTGTATCCTGTGATTCATTTTGTTGTTAACATGGTGAATAAAAACTAGATTTGCAGGCAAGTTGAGTCAACGGTACAAATTGCGTGGACACGAGCAAAAGCAGCACAAAGAGCTTTTACTCATATGGCATCATCTGCAATTGAATGCCATACATCGATTTTGATATAGCATGACAAATCTTCTTGTGTTGGCTATTGTTGCTGGTGACACTTGCTTTTGGATTACCATTTTCAGAAGATATGATGCTTTCTATACTTGATGGGTATGATATTTCAACGCATTCAGACATCCATGTTAAATTAACCCATCTATAATTACCATTCCCGGGTTCTGTGATGGGCATTTTTGACGACCAATATCCTCTAGCTTTTTGTGGAGGGTTTGAGTGATCAATTTTTTTTTGTCTATACTTGCATTCTTGCTCTCTTTTACTCCCTTTTCCACCTTTTTCACTTCGATTGAATTTGTGAGCTGCTGACCGTCTCTACACACGCACACATCCCTGTGTTAAATTTGTTTGGCTCGAGTTTGATTGATTTCTGTTTGTTTCCTGAATAAGTGTGGTAAAGTGCAATAAAATAATATCTATTGTTATGTGGTTTTCTGGAAAATGAAATTCTATATAGTAGTTGCGAGCTCATTGCTTGAATCTCCATATATTTGTGTGAGAAAAATTGACAAACAAAAAGAAAGATCCATATGATTTTGACATTGTGTTTCTCAAGTGGTATCTATTGTCACATGTTAAATGAAACATAAAATAGGTTAATTACACCTTATTTCTCGGCAATCACTACTAAGCGAACAAGTAAATTAAATGCTGTTTCTGGTGACTGATTTGCTTTGTGGGGCATACCATAATGAAATAATTTAAGCTTCTTTGGTTAAAAAACTGCTAATTTTGTTGGACTGTTTGATGAATTATTGAATATTACAGTTATGAAATTATTATATAATAATAAAAATATATTAAAAAAAATGCAGACTTATCTCGACTATATTTGTATTTTGTTTTTTAAGGTGGTGTTGTATATGTTTGTATCGTAGAGTACTTATATTATTTCTTTATATTGATATTTGTACCTATTAGTTATGCACGATGCAGGTGAATATATTTAAATAATTATATTTGTAATTAAATTGAATAATAAATTGTTTTAAATAATTAATTTTTATTTTAATTATTGTTAAATTTAATTAGTGATCGATTCTACCTGTCTTGAGTACTTAATTTATCAATTTTTTTTAAGTATATCCCAGGTCCTTTTATATATTTTATCTTTTGTTTTTAACAGTTTTATATTGTTATTATTGAGTATTTGTATATCTAATTATGTTATAGATTTATTATAGTTTTTCTTAAAGAAATTGATAAGTTTATAATATTATTGTTTGTATTATAATATTATGATATTGTTGAACACCAAAATAATCAAATATGATGTATATTTGACTGTTGAATTTAATTTGGCAACTACATGTGTATAATAATAGAATATATATTGGATTTTATCTTTTTATATAATATAGACAAATAAAAAAAATTGTAAGCGAGTGCATTACTAATAAAAGAGTTTGACAAAACTTAAAAAAAATTAGATGAAAGTAAATGTGAGTATAATTGATTTTATAATAATAATTAAGAATAAATAAAAAATTAAAATTTTTCATAGATATTGACATTTGTGAATAAATGCAAATATAGATATTTGTATCTGTATTCATGTATCCGTGCTCTAGATTAGACTGCAATCGTATAGGATTGTAAGTGTTGCACTACAGTCCAAAATAGGCGTGGAAAGCTTTTCTCAGCTTTTTCAGAGGGCTGGAAAGGAAGAGGATAAATGGAGGCATTAAATGTTTTTTAGGTACAATTTGGTTGGCTTCAAAACACTGTTTTAAAATATGGTCCGGTTTGAAGGGTTGACCTGTGAATCGGACCCTAAAACGGGCTAATTAAGTTATGGATCGTTTGAGCAAATGAATCGGACAAAATTCGCTGAACTGACCGATTTTGTAACAAAGTCTATGAGTCGTACAGGTTGCTTCAAATACTATAAATACTAGGTTTTGGAGTTATTTGGACATTTTTTGTCCTAATTGTTTTGCACCCAGCCACAACCCATCTCTTATGTCTTCTACGTCTCTTCTACTTGCCCTCTCTCTCTCTCTCTCATTTTAGTTGTTGAACTCGAAGCCCCTCTCTCTCAGTGTAACTGTCAAGCTCAAAGCCTCAAATTGAAGGAATTGTCCCTCTATCACCATCATATAATCGTTTCTCAGAATTCTCCACCACCAATAGTCGATTGATTGAAAATTTTCTTCACTTGTTTTGCTTCTCATAGACCATTGTTTTGCTCCTGCAGGCCCTTTCAACTGGTACATCTTTTTCTCTCTGTTATTTTAGTATTAACTGTATTGTAGACTAACTTGGTTAATTAGTTGATGATACTTGATATTGCATATGAAATTAAGGGTATTGCTTAGTTATTAATTCCAAAAATTACAAAATTGGGAATTCAAGGGGATGAAAATTGGAGTTTTAGTTTGTTTGATTGAGTTGGGTAGAGGTGAAATTTTACTGCCAAATTGAGCATGAATTTTGGCTTCATTGTTACTGATTTATCTATTTGATTGAGAATCTATTTGGTGATTTTAGAATTTTTGTGATCTAAAATATATTAAGCATACTATTTTTATAATTTTTGTGATTTTGAAGCATATTTATTATTAATAATAATTTTTTTTTATTATATTACCGGTTCGACCAATGATCCAACCGGTGAACCGGTGACCCACTAATTTGNTTTTTATAATTTTTGTGATTTTGAAGCATATTTATTATTAATAATAATTTTTTTTTTATTATATTACCGGTTCGACCAATGATCCAACCGGTGAACCGGTGACCCACTAATTTGGTTCATTTCTTGAGTTGATGTTCGGACCGAGTTTTAAAACTATGTTCAAAAGCCCTGGCTTTATGCCGGAAGTGTTACATTGGAGTTAACAATGTCTTCTATTTTTAGGGAGAAATGTCTTGACCACACTTTCTTTGGGTTCTTTCTTTTTTAAAAAAAAAAAAAAAAAAAGAATTGGTTATGGGTGGCTAGACGTAGCAACTTTCCAGGATATTACTTTGAGATTTTTATTCGTCATAAAATATTCGATTTGAATAGTAACTACTGACCTGGGATGATTGAGTTCGTTACCACAATATCACCGAAGATAAGGTGGATATTCAATCTTTTCCATAGTATTTGGTTCACAGGGATTATTATTGCAAGTAGTTTTGAACTCATGACCACTTGAGTGTACGGGATTTTCATCTTTTATTAAGCCAACTAGGCTACTACAATACAAATTCCTCGTATGTACAATCACATGCAAATCGGAATTGGGAAACCGAGAGTTTGTCGGTTTAGAATATTTTGCATTAAAGAATTTAAGAATGGGGTGTTTAAATCTTAGCGGTTTTGAAAAAAAAAAAATAGAGGTGTAGTGTCAAGTTTTAGTGAACTAATGGAGGATTCTCCTATTCGTATAGAATTGGATGGGAGCCGCTACCATTCTTCGACTTCGAAATTTAAGTTAGTTGAATAAAAAATAGCAGTCCTATACTTGGTGTGACAAGGGAGATCGATTTAACTGCATTTTAAAAAAAATTGACAGACTAATTGGACATGAAGCTTGGAATATCAGAGTTGATCTGAATTTCTTACCTCGGCATCTCCAGGGTTGTCAAAAACTTTGACTTTTAAATGATGAAATGCAACAAATTAACAAAACCACAGTTGAGAATGTCGCTATAAAGCAATAGTTGGTAACGAAGAACAGGGTTCCTGTCAGTAGACTAAACCAACAGCCATTGGATGCTGCTCCTAGGCCACAGTAAGAATATTTTGATACACAAGTACATTGGAAGACAGAATAGAGGACGAACTTTTTAAGGCAATTTCGGCAGACTTATGATTTTTTCTATATATATTTCATGATTTGGGAAATTAATTCCCACAAATTATGAAATGGCAAGTAGATTATGTAGCCACAAAATAATTGGTACATTCCAGTTTTGTAAAAACATTACTAAATACCTTCCAGAGGTAACTCCATAGCCACAGCACTGATAATGAGTAGTTTGAACAGACATGGTTTGAAGTTGGAATACATAGCCCTGTATCCATTAACGAAAGCAAGAATACAAAATACACATCCTAGGTTTTTTTATTATTGCGCAAAAGCAAAAAAAGGGCGTGTAACCGATCACCCCCTTACATCCTTTCTTCTTCCAAACACTGTTCTACAAATGTCAACAGTTCAAGCAACTAATGATACAAAAAATGCAACACTTGACATTGGCATAGCCAGTGTTATTGTCAATTTTTCAGAAGTTCCTGGAGATTAGAGGGGCAAACATTGGATGTGGTTAAGCAGCAGACTCCTTGGCAATCTTCTCCGCCTTGGCAATGACCTCTTCAATGCCACCAACCATGTAAAATGACTGCTCAGGAAGGTCATCGTATTTTCCATCCAATACTCCCTATAAAAATGAGTAGACCATCATATGGATGTCAGGCACAAGAAGTTGAACACAAGATAGGTATAGATCAAGTTGGACCTTCAGTCAATCACCACATGTTAATTCGAAGAATAGTAAGCAATCAGAAGTCTACTTCCAGTTGCCATAAAAAGACCTAATCACACGTGTCACAAAAATTTTGGCATGAAACACTCTTTCCCAATTCACTTCCCATCCCAAAATTTTCAGGAACAGCTTTTAAACTGGACCCTTGATTGACAATATCATTTTCATTTACAATTTTTGATACATTCTTTTCATTTCAATATCCACTATAAATTTGAAACTAAACTACCCACATAACTAGCCACATAATCATTGTTATTTACTTCGCCTCAGGCATATCGCATAGTTGGATTCAGATTTCAGCTTTATCTCACCAAAAAAGACTTCATTTGTTGGAAAGAAAGGCTAATTAACATGGCTGAATGTGAAATCTTCCTCAAGAAATCAAAATATGATGATTTGTGCACAAACTACACATGCCAGATATCCATGGTTCAAACTATCATCGATTATACAACTTGGCCACATCGTATTCGAAACCTTCCTTTTTTGAGATCAATATACATTATGTGTAAATCACAATACTGCTCCACGATACCATAATATTGGCCTAAATCTCCCACCATGTCCAACTTCTATATTTCATGCGTACCGCCTGACATCATTCAACGATTTTGAAATCGATGTGTCTCAGTGCTATCCGAATTGATGACTAATACCATAACCTTAACCATGGATGTCCTAGGGCCTACACACTCTAAGAGAATATTTTAAAGGAATCTCGCAAAGATAATGGTAGCCCTATGCTCCTAGTATAAGTATCTACAGTCCAAATTGGCTGCTCTAAGAACCTTAGGATACGTTTGGAAACCCGTTTAAATTTGGAAGGCCAAGCCACAGTTTGGATAGTGTCATAAGGTTGTCAAAACGTGTCTCGCGATGTTAATCGGTTTTAGAAAATAAAGTATCTTGTACTATAAAATTGAGTGTATCCATATATACCTGAAAGTATAGAAGTATATCATGTCCAAAATGAAATATATATCATTTCAGCTCACTTTTCATTTCATATAATACGTGTTTGCTACAGATTCAAAGGGTGAAGGGGGAGGTCTTCCTTTCCAATTTAAAAAGATTTCTCTAGAAGATGAAGGTGTCCTATAAAAAGTAGTTCCTTGGTGATTCTTCCTTTTCTTTTCGAAAGAGTGAGAACTCTTACTCTTCATCTTCGTGACATAAATCCACATACAGTTACGGTGTGTATGGTACGCGGGATTAAGTCTTAGGAATGGAATACGCATTCATTCGTAATGTTTATTCCTATGTTTGGTTAGCAAGAATGAGAATTCATTCCTATTCCTAAGGAATAGTTAATCCTACAAATAATGGCATTAGCCATTACTAAATTTACCATGGTATTTCCCATTCCATTCTCATCCCAATTTACGTCAAATCCATTCGTGAAAAAAAGACCCTCTATTTTATCTTCCCGATTAACATACGCAGACTCTCTCTCTCATGGCGTTTCAGCCCTTCTCTCTTCGCCTCCCTACCAGCTTCTTCCTCTTTTGTCATCTCTATATGAAGCACGGGTTGCTATTTGAGATCAGGACCAGCTTATAATAGCTCTGATCTGATTCAATTTCAAGTAATTTTTTCTAAATTCAGTCGATAATTCTCATATCTAACTTCCAAAAAAATAGTTCTCGTATCCAAGCTTGAATTTCTAGCGTTTTGGAACAGCTTCACCAACTGATTTCTTTCATTTTTCATATCTTTTCTCTTTATCGAGTAATTTTTATAAATCTTTAAACTGTCAATTGTGAATATTTTGTAGCATTGTTGGATTTGTATCGCTAAGTAGTATTGTGGCATTTAGGATTTCCTTGATACTGATTAGGGTTCATAGTGATTTAGGGGAAGTATATTTACGTGTCTAAGTATATTTAGCAGTTGTCTGGGCGAGGGATCTTACGCATACACTTCACCTTTTAGCCTGCTGATATGGGATGTAACAACTATGGAAAACATAGTAAAATGATTTCAGTAGTGAAGGATGTACAAGCAAAGATGCTGCAATGAAATTTACTTACATATTTTCTTGGTTTTTACTGGCCACTGAATAATTATTTGTATTTTGGGATTGTTTGTTTTTTCATTAGGATTATATACAGCTCTTTTTATCAGCACTTTAATTTGATTGCATATTGACCTTATTTCAATAAGAATAGTTTGAAAAAATGGCATCCTCAAGTCAAGTGGAGTCATGAAGTCCGGGTAAGAATAAGAAGAACTGCACTACTGATTAAGGAGGGAAGAACTATTTTTGCTCGTGCAATTGGTGTTGACACCGCATTATGTGACATGAAGAAGAAGATTTACAAAGACTTGTTAATGTTGTCCGACTTTTCCATGAGTGAGAGGCTCAAAGCCTCAAGTTCATGACTCTGATTATACTGACTTGTTTTTTAGCCTTTCTGAGGTTGAGAGGGCAGAATTAGTTAAAGGGATATTAAGGGGGGATTTTTAGATATATTTGTTCAAATGGTAAACCTAGTCCTATTATATAAGGGTGATGCATGGTAAATGAACATATTTTTTGGATTTTTTTGTCTATGAAACACTTGTGTTACCCTTATCTGTTACGCTGGAGTTTAATTATGTTTTCCATGAAAAAGGTTATTTGGTTAATGATTACATTTTATTATATTTGTAAATTTTGAAAATTAGGTGTATTTTTATAAGATTGTCCACATTAAAAAAATTATGGTAAAAAGAATAGGCACACATTTTGCAGGTTGGTCATAACCATTGTGTGTTGAATGAGTACCATTCATGAAAGATTATGTAGAATATTGATGAAAGTATCACATTTCTACTAATTTTTTCATTATGTGATTTTTTTTGACTTTATTTACAACATATTTAATCTAATTTGTCAAGTTTTAAAATCAACAAAAGTATTCATTATAATGAAGTATGCAATAAGTTAGAAATTCTATGATTAAAAAGTTATTTTGGCTAAATTTCATTCTATTCTAATAGAAATTATTTTATCCAAACTTTAGAATGAAATGCTTTCAAGACTTGATCTCAATTAATTGTCAAACATTTGAATGATAATACAGTTCATTCTATTCCCAAACTTATTTCATTCTCATATCCATTTCATTTCTACTTAAAGGCATTACTACGTACTAAACGCAGCGTTAGGGTTTAGTCTATTTGAAGAAGAGGAAGAAGAAGAAGCAAGAGAAACAAAAAAAATCATATGAGAAGAAAAAGATGATTGAGGGCATCATTTGTTTTAGCTTGAGCCAAAACGAAAAAAATAGCATATAGGAAAAAACATTGTTTCACACTAGTTAGGGTTTCCTTATTTAATGATTTCTAGCTTAGGCCTTGATAACCGAGTATTTATGTATATGCATAGTGCATCACAAAAGTGTTTTAGCCAGAATGGTGTTTAGGTCAATGTTCATTANAAAAAACATTGTTTCACACTAGTTAGGGTTTCCTTATTTAATGATTTCTAGCTTAGACCTTGATAACCGAGTATTTATGTATATGCATAGTGCATCACAAAAGTGTTTTAGCCAGAATGGTGTTTAGGTCAATGTTCATTAATCAGGTCAGAGCGGGTAAAAGATAAAAAAAAATGGTCTTACATGTATTATCTTTTCACTATACCCAAATATATCATATGATATGGATCGCGTATCTCTAAGATGCATTTTGTACGATACTAACAACTAAATAGTTATTGGAAGATTTAATCACCTAAATGAATCAAAAGACTAATAAAATACAAAGATTAAACAATTGTGGGAGTCAAATTGTAATTACTTGCTCTAGAAGAATTTTATTTGGGGTCACAAAAAAAATTGAAAATACCAAACGTTATTATAATGAAAGATGGATGGACAATTTTGTCCACTAGTGAGTGTGTGAAACATACTAATATGTGATTGTGTGATTAGGTGTTAAAAGTGCAACAAGTGAATTGTGTGTGGCTTTATATGAGGGATACATGTGTGATGTGTTGTGAATTTTGGGGGCAAGGTGTCTAAACTAGCTAAATTCAAGAAAAACAAATGACATAAAGAAGGGAATCACAATGGAGATGATGGCTTATGGTTAATAAGAGAGGAAGGAGTTGTCAGCTTAAGGATGGAGGGATGGAGAGAGAGAGAGGTAGAAAAAGAGAAACTACAAAAAAAAAAAAAAGAGAGAGAAACCGACAAGTTTGAGAGTCACATCAAATGGTGATTTAAGCTTTGATTGCTATCAAATTTGGGTATATTGTTTATGGTGCTATAACTGCTACTTGAGGATTGGGAAAGTGGGGTTATTCAGAGTATACTCCGAAATTACTTTGCAAAATGCAGTTCCTTGATTATTCTTGATTTGTATTCCAATCAACTGAGTTGTTGGCATTTTGAAATTCCAAGTGAATTTCTATGGGGCAAAATTGAGTAAATCCCAGAGAGCGACCCAAATCCAAAATAGATCCAAACCAGCGGATTCAGCAAAAACGTCAAGGTGAGAATAGCGTGATGACATTTTATATGATTGATGATACGTTTTCCATTTGTTTTATCCTTGATGTGTTTGTTACTCGATTGTTTGTACTCGTATGGATTTATTATCCTTACTGGGCTTCCCATCTGACCCCCACTACCCCTCAGTCGATGGCTGAATTCAGAGGGCAAGAGAAGTCAGAAAAGCAAAAACAAGTTGAATTAACAAAATAGAGACATACGTACAGCTAAGTATTGGATTAAATAATCTTATTTGTATAATTTACATATTTAACCTCATTAATTGTAAAAACCACACAGCTGCAGAGGTATTTTTCTGTGAAAAGTTGATTTGATTAACTAAGGTTATGTAACACTCTGATGGGAACGGAATCAAGCCGAGGTTGTTACGTACGGAGCTTTCAACTATTTCATGGGATGCCAACATTTTTGGCTTTCCTTCAAATGACAACAAACAAGTTTTAGCATCAATCAAAATAAGATAGTTATGCAGTTAAGTATGATGGAGGAGATGGACAAGGATTGACTGGAGGGGCCATCAGCCAGAATCAAGTGATGAAAGCCCTGCATAGTGAATCTATAATACAGAACAGAACCCCGATATGAACATGGCCTTATTTTAGTTGTGATAAGATGTGTTTAGGAGAGTGTCCTAACAGTGATGCATTATTTTGACAAAACCTGGGGCTACTGAGTACAAAAGCATTTTAGATCGTGCTGACTCCGCAAAAGGAAGGGCTGTTGACTTGAAGGACAGATCAGTTATATAGCTACATGTGAAAGCTCCTTGCCCAGATGCTTGTTGAAAGGCTTCATTCAGACTGTCAGAGAATACTAAAAGATTCACATGGCTTATCGAGAATCAGGCTTCACAAAAAACGCTTGCAAATGAATAATTCAAGTAGCCAATCCAAGTAGTTCCTATTTAGTTTTGTCCAGTTGAATTAATTTGAGTTGTATGTACATATCTGTTCTCATGTCCAAGCATTACTGTTTTTAGGGCCTTAATTATACATCCGCAACGACAGTCAACTCTCTCCATGGTTTACAAGGATGCTAACACAAATATGTAATATCAAGCATAATTGTCAGTATCTTACGTAAACGATTCATAACGTCTTTCACCGTATCTTTCGTTATGTGATACATATCTTATGATACATTTCGATACAATCAAAAATCAAATAAGCATAACATCAATACAACCTCGTTTCACAAGGTTTTTTCTATCTAAACAATAAAACGACGTCGTTTCTCTGATTTGTTGTTCTTATTTTTTGGTTTTGACTTTAATCAAACGAAACTATCAATCATCTTCTTCTCCCAAGACCCTCTTTTTGTTTCTCCTGCATCTTATTGTTCTTCTCATTCGCGCAGACAAAATCCTACATACATTTTGATCTTTGTTGTGAAAACAAACGATTGTTTCTCTTTTGATCTCTATTGGAAACACGAATCACATGAAATGATAAGTTGAAATGATATTTATGTTACTTTAAAGATAATATATGCACATAATTTTAGGTATGTGTATGTAGTTTATATACATGTATGTATATAAATTTAAATCGAGTGTATCTTATGATACACGATATACATTATTTTTGAAAATCGATACGCAATTTGATACACAACCATGACACCTAGGATTACAAAACACTCCAAAGCAACAATGACACGAGTTCCAATCATCGCCACTTCTTTTTTTCCCTCCTACATTTTTTTTCCTTTTTGTGCAGCTCTAACACCAAATCCCTTTTTTTGATAGGTCACCAAAGCACCAGATCCAAACAAAAACTGAATAATTATACTCTTAACCCACCCACCAAAACCATTGCATCAACAACTTTGAAATTTATGTTGACACTAGCTAGGAAACACGAACACTTCATTTTGGCCAGTGTCCATGTCAGACACGGACATGTGTCATATATGCTAAAATGAGTATTTAATTTTTTTATTGTTAAATTTTTTTTAATGACACATTTTGATTTTTTTTTTTTTTCCAAATATTTTGACAACTTTTCAGACAACTTTATAATCAAAAGAGTTATTTTTATAATTTTAAAAATATATAAAGTTAACACAGGACATTTGGTCAAAAAAAATTGGACATGAAATTGATGAAATAAAGGGTTTACAAAATTAAGACTCTTTGAAATTGATGAAAATTAGTGTTACGAATTGAAATATTTTTAAAAATAAAAATTATAGTAGATATTGATTGTTAGATCATAGATGTAAATGATGAATGTGTATCGACATATCTTATATTATATTTTTTATGCAGAAAACAACATGTGCTCCCCTTTTATGTTAAACTTACACTACTCTGTTAATTTTGATCAGAAAAAGGCCTCACCCATCACTTCTACAACTTCATAGCTCAGGTGCAAAATACTAGGATATTAAATTGAATTCCAAAACACAACGCAAAAGTTTGTTATTATTTAAGAATATTTGTGCCAGAAATGTGGCCTTGACTTGAGTCATGACATGTCAATTATGCTCTAAGATAAGGCTAGGAGCAGGTTTGATAATAATGGCTTAAAGTTAAAGCGCAGGCAAACGCAAAGTCATATAATACAAATTTTTGTGACTTTACTAATATAACAATCACGGTCATTATATCCATGGTAGCAATTTTGCCTATTGTTAGTGAAGTAATTTAGTCAACTAAAAGAAGCATGACCACTAGGCTGATTGCTACGCACAAATGTAAAATTGACATAATCACAGGCTAACAGGAACATCTAGCTAAGATCCTAAATGATAGGAGACAGTTGACTATTATAACGCACAAGAAAAATAAATTTTTTTATGTACCTGGAAACTGGTAATACTCTCTTTCAGCTCTACATACTTTCCTGGGGCTCCAGTGAAAACTTCAGCAACATGGAATGGCTGGCTCAAGAACCTTTGAATCTTTCGTGCACGAGAAACAGTCAACTTGTCATCTTCACTGAGCTCATCCATCCCCAAAATGGCAATGATATCCTGAAGATTCTTATAGTTCTGAAGAACCTTTTGAACACCACGAGCAGTGTTGTAGTGTTCTTCTCCCAGAATGTGTGGCGATAGCATGCGAGATGTAGAATCTAAAGGGTCAACAGCAGGATAGATACCAAGCTCAGAAATCTGGCCATAAGAAACCAGAAAAAGAGTTAACAATCAAGATTTTGCAAAAAAGGGAGAAATGATGCTAATGTAAACAAGATCAAATACCTGCCGGGACAGTACAGTTGTCGCGTCCAGATGGGCAAAAGTGGTAGCAGGTGCAGGATCCGTCAAATCATCAGCAGGTACATATATAGCTTGGACAGATGTAATAGAACCTTTCTTGGTAGTAGTGATTCGCTCTTGTAGGCCTCCAAGATCTGTAGCCAATGTAGGTTGGTAACCAACAGCAGATGGAATACGACCAAGCAATGCCGATACCTCTGAGTTAGCCTGAAATGGGAAAGCACAGCAAGACATGACCAGATCAGGACCAAGCCAAAGCAAAAACAAAAAACAAGAACGAGAGAGAAATTGAAGACAAAATACAAGGAAGAAGTAGAGAAAAAAATTGAAAGTTACTTGGGTGAAGCGGAAAATGTTATCGATGAAGAGAAGCACATCTTGCCCTTCAGCATCTCGGAAATGCTCAGCCACAGTCAGCCCAGTAAGTCCAACACGAGCACGAGCGCCAGGAGGCTCATTCATTTGACCATAGACAAGAGCACACTTGCTGTCACTCTGAAAAAAATGAAAATGTTGATCTATATGGAACTAGAATGAATAATATACTTCAGTAGATATGGAACCAACCACTAAATTAAGGAACAAAATATGAAGTGCATGATACAAACCTGCTTGTCTCCAAGCTTAATAACACCACTCTCAATCATTTCTCTGTACAAGTCATTACCCTCTCGAGTTCGTTCTCCCACACCAGCAAATACTGAGAAACCACCTGAATAACAGGAAATAGTAGAATCCAACAAATCATACGAATCCAATAACAATAATATGGAAAGCCACTAATTGTGTTTTCCAGGTAACCAACCATGAGCTTTGGCAACATTGTTTATAAGTTCCATAATAAGCACAGTCTTCCCAACACCAGCACCACCAAAGAGTCCAATCTTTCCACCTCTTTGGTAAGGTGCAAGGAGGTCAACAACCTAGAAAATGTTGGAAGCAAGATAAAGTGACAGTGCAGTGGCTCCAGCAGTTCATCCAAAAAATAAAATTAACATAAATTAAAGGCCCTGAACTGAAAATATACAGAAGAATCTGCAGAAGGTACCCAAAAAAAGAACATTTCTCCGTCAAACTTTTCAACACCGAAGAAAGATTGGCATACCTTGATTCCAGTAACAAGGATCTGTTGTTCAGTTGCCTGCTCAACGAAGGCCGGAGCTTCTCGATGGATGGGCAAATAGTGATCAGTTTCTGTTTCAATTTTTCCACATTATAAAATATCAGCAAAATGTTTGATATTGATTAGGGGAAAAATATTCCTATGTAGTAGAAAACAGAAAGAGAACTGCCACTACATGAACAACTTGTTTAGAAATTTTTTTTGTTTCTTACTAATATCGCCCTTTTCGTCAATAGCCTCTCCAATAACATTCATGATACGACCAAGAGTGGCCCTACCAACGGGCACCTAAGCACCCAAAAGAAGGTTACAAAACAGTGTTAGAATCAAGCTGTACAACAGGGACAGAAACATCAAAAAACATATGCACGAATCAGAATTAGTAAAATTTTTACATAGAGCAAGACCCATTCCATGTCTATTACCAACAAAAACAGAGCCATTATAACGATACGATACCCCCATTCACAATACAAAACTATCCTAAAAAGAGTTTGTCCTACATACTCTTCACTCAAACTATGAGCAATTAAACAAAAATCCAAGGCTATACAACGTTAAGCGCACGAACTTTTGTCAAGGAAGCCACAACCCTTAACCATTAAGGACCTATATCCATCTAGAGTTGTACCTGGCATTATAAAATGGGGCTACGGAATTTGAATTGCAAGAAATTAATTCAAACTTTGAACTAGGTTTTCTCCAAATTCCACTTCCATGGTGCCAAAGGCGGACATTACATAAAAATGGAATATAGAAGTCATATGATCCCCACGATTTATGGTTATTAAATACAAAAATTTTTAGAAGAACCCCACAAAAATCAACTTGAATTGTATTTAGAAGATCAAAAAAGCTAAAAAATCCCAATACAAAGAAGTGTTGTTTTTTCTGAAAAGTAAAAACATTTTAAAACAAAGGGGTCATTGTCAGGCGAACAACTATTAGATTGTGGGTTCGAACATAGGGCAGTCACTTTGGGATCATAATGCCAAATTTGGCTCTGTACCCAAGTCTACCCCTCACAGCAGCATAGATTGTCATGATCTTTTGAACTAAAAAAAAAAAAATCAAGACCACAATATAAAGCAAACAGAATCTTTTGATTCAGTTCTTACAGTGATAGGAGAGCCAGTATTGAGCACTCTTTGACCTCTCACAAGCCCTTCCGTCCCATCCATGGCAATCGTCCTCACCATATTTTCACCCAAATGCTGGGCTACTTCGAGCACCAACCGGATCGAATTGTCGAGAACCTCCAAAGCCGTCAAGATCGGCGGTAAACCCTCATCGAACCTCACATCAACGACGGCTCCAATCACTTGGCACACTTTTCCGATCGCTCCTTTACCCGTAAACTCATCCGTTATCTTTCCGCTACCTTCGCCACTCTTACCCGCCGGAGGAGACGGCGGGGACGCCGGAGCTGCCGCCGAGGTGGCATAGTTGACTGCCCGGGTGAGAAAGTAGCCGGTCGGAGATGGGCGAGAGATTGCGGACTTAGGACTGGTGAGGGATTTGGAGAAAGATCGTCGAAGGGAAGAGGAAGATCGGAGGAGAGAGGACAACAGCTTCCGAGAAGCCATTGTTAGGGTTTGTTATTTGTGGGTTTGTGTTTGTGTGTGTGAAGTCCAGGTGTGGTGTATATGTCAACGCAATGTGCCACTATGTCCGGTTGCTAGGGAGGAAGAAAAAAACATTGTGCTTTTTCTTTCTTTTTTTGTTTAGATGACAAATAAAACATTGTGCTTTTTCTTACTTTCTTCTCCTTTTTTTTTAAACTTTCCTTCTCTTTTTTTATCTCTTTCTAACAGCCAAATACATTTTGAGTGATAAAATCTTAGAAATTTTGGGTATGTGTTTTTTGTGTTTGATAATATAAAAAGAGTTGGAATGAATTAGATACAATGACAATATATTAAATTAAATTTGAAAATAAATTTCAAGTTTATAATGTATTTAAAAAAGTTAACTAAAAATTAAAATTGATCTGTCAAATAATAACTTCACATTCTTTTTAAAAAAGAGAACAATTTTTTTAATTATATTTTATTAGAACTCCATATAAAAAAATTCTATAAGGAAAATATCGAAATTAGAAGAATAAACATTTTTTAATTAATTTAGATTAAATCTCTTTAATGTTCTCTTAAATTATGACATACCTTTTAAATTATCCCTTAAACTTTCAATTGTCCAAATTTATCCATTGAACTATGTAATTTATTTCAATAACAAGATTAATTGCTATTTAATGATTAAACTTAAAAGAATGAATCGATTAAAATAAATTACATAGTTCAAGAGTAAAATTATACAATTAAAATTTTATGATACAATTTAAAATAAAAATCATAGTTCAAGGACAGTTATGAGATTTAACCATTAATTTACTAATTCAATTAAGATTATGAAACTCAAAGTCAAAAATTACAAAATTCAGTGTTTCGGAATTTGGTGACTTTTTTTTTACCACTAATTCGTGAAAATTAAGAAAAAAATTGAATATAATTTTTTGAGACCTTAATTTTTAATTTAACTTGAGGCCGATGATGGGATCCACAAGTTCAGCCTGATATGACCCCATTTGTTAAAAGTATACTCGCAGGGCCAGCATGCGTGCTTTGCCAATTCGTGACGTGGAGGCTAGCCAATAGGCATATACCGAGGACTTGGTCCGATTATTTCATTTACGTGTCCGCTGAATAGTTTAAGCACCATTTAGAACAAAAGGGCCCTTTTTTTATCTTTTTCCTCAACTGTATTTGTGTCATGCTAAGATTAAGGCAACCCGTGGTTACTCTTGGTAATTGATGGAGTCTCAGAAATTATAATTACAGGCCAACTTATGGGAGGTTATTGGGTCTGGTGTGTGAGTTGGTTTGAAAAATTAGATTATCTATTGAAAGAGAAAAAAAAGAAGATAAGTGGTTCGCCTTGGCCAATAGGCTAAGGTTACGTCCACTGTAATGGAGTCTCTTGCTCCTTGATGTTATATATTGAACCTCCAATGTATACAGCCGGGATATAGGTGTTGGGCCTTTATAAGGATTTGTGTTTTGCTTATAGAGTGTACAAGGTTGAGAAATGTTCTTTGGGCTCTCTCTTTTTTGTAGGGCACTGTTCTATATATATGGGTCGTCTCTCTTATGATTTATGGCGGTTTCTTTTACCTTTTTACCGATCTTGTAAGGATCTCCTATCCTTGTCCTGCAAGAGCCTTTTTCAGCCAGTGCTACTGTGCCCACGATCTCTGGGACGTTATGCTCGACCATCTTTTGCGTGCGGGAGGGTGTAGCTATCACAGGTTTTAGAGATGGTCCCCTTATCCTCTGGACACGTGGCACGTCGGGATGACTCTGGGGCAAAGATTCGATTCCTCCTTCTCGGATTGCCCTTTAGCTAGCATCTGACTAGGCCACTGCCCCTCGAGTGCCCACTGGGCCTTGCTCTTTCGGCCCTTTGGCATGGGCTAATTAGAGACACTTTTTTTGGGTCAATGAGCTCTGCCTTCAGTTCCTCATGGTGTTTTGGGTTTTAGACTCATGGCAGCCCATGCCCCAAATTCCACCCTTATCTGTTGCCCCCCAGCCCCTGGTCATGAGAATGACGTCATCTCTGACCTGGGGTTAAAGATGTCTTTTTTGAATTCCACATCATTTCTATGTGGCAGGAATGTCCGGCAGTTGATTTTGATAAAATTTGTGTTGTATTGATATCTGTTAGCTATGATGGCTTGCATACGTGTCACCAACGGGCCAGCCAAACGGTGCAGGTTCTTTGGCGTGTCATGTTGCCTGTCTGTCACAACTTTAAATGTTGCGTATAAGAGGGGTAAGACTTCTTGTCTCTCCCACTTTACACTCCTCCCTTTTTTTTTATGAAAACCTCTCTTCTCGTCTTCTCCTATTTCCTTCGGCATTCGAGGCGTCTTGTGCCTAGCTTTTTGGTGACTTAGGATTTCTGCGCTCCCAATTCTTTCGTGCTTCTAGCGTCCTACTAGCTACATCTCTCTTCCCTTCTTTTCTTTTCTGTTCGACCTGGATCCCTTCAACCCTCCCTGGTGGGGTTTCGGGTTTCACTTCCTGATTTAGAGATTCAGTTATTTTAGGAGTCGCTCTAACGACCTCTCTTTTCTTTCATGATTTGTGGACTCCTCTTCCTTAGTTAGGATATCTTTTCTTGGGAATTAGTACTTGAGACTTTTGTTCTTGACAGATTGTGTCTTACATTTGCCTTTTCTGCACTCTAGCTTGTCAGTTAAAACTGTGATGGGGAAATTTGTCGTTACTTCTTCTGAGTTAGGTTTTGAGGATCTGGTTAACAAGGAGGTCGAGGAAAGCACCTCAAGTTCCCTTAAAGATCGTTATTTTACTGTCGGTGAGGTGGCCTCTAGGTCTGCCCTTGGGGTTTCCTCTTCAGCCTCCCCCATTGAGGATCGCCCTCCTTCATCTCTAGCTCCCACCGCCTCTACTCAGTTGAGGAAAGGGAGCCCTAAGCCAGTACCACCCTCCATTTCTAGGGTGAAAATTCACCAAGATCAATTTGACCTGACCTGTTGTGCCGAGGAGACCTCTAATTACCTTGATGATGACGATTTAGAGGAACTGAGACGGGAGTCATTTTCCTGACTTCGTGGAATTGCATTCGCCTGAGAAACACGAAAGGTGCAATTCTTCTCTTACCAGTTATCAGTTCCCTTTTTGTTTTTATTCCACTGTCTGAATTAATCTTCTGGCCTGATTTGCAGATTTATGTCCAATGCTCAACGAGGAGGAGACCACTCAAGTCGCCAGGGCTGAAGCTCTAGGGTTGTGATCATTCTTTGACTCGGTGACTGACCAGAATCTCACTACATTCGAGCTAGGGCCCTCCGTTGATCAAGCCCCTGCGGTTGCATTATCATCTGCCCCCAGTACGACCCCATGGATCAAGACTTGATCATGTCGATGTTTTCTGATACTGAGCAGTCGAGGAAGAGGAGGAAACTGGTGAAGAGGCCATGGCCGCCCTCCAAGGAGGCATCAGTTTCTGGGCTGGCACTCATACCCTCAGAGTAGACTCCCGAGGACCCTTCTTCTCATGGGGATGCNGACTGACCAGAATCTCACTACATTCGAGCTAGGGCCCTCCGTTGATCAAGCCCCTGAGGTTGCATTATCATCTGCCCCCAGTACGACCCCATGGATCAAGACTTGATCATGTCGATGTTTTCTGATACAGAGCAGTCGAGGAAGAGGAGGAAACTGGTGAAGAGGCCATGGCCGCCCTCCAAGGAGGCATCAGTTTCTGGGCTGACACTCATACCCTCAGAGTAGACTCCCGAGGACCCTTCTTCTCATGGGGATGCTGACGTGCCCACATCTCCTCCTAAAATTTCCAAGGGTCATACCCGCTCAGAGGGGACTGTAGTGGACAAGCTTGGGGCTGAGACTACCCATCTTCCTAGAAAGGCGATTTCTCAGAAGGGTAGTAAGGGGGAGTCCGTCCCTCCGAAGTCCAAGGTGCAGTGGAGTGGTTTCCTAAGCAATCTTGAGGCTGCGGTGACTGCCTTGTCCGAGCTGATCTCCACTTCGGATCCTAGGGCGACTATGCAGGTTCCCTTTAAAAAGGAAAGTTCAGCATACCATCCAAGCCTTGGCTAAAATGTCTCTCATTGTTACTCATGTCTTTCTCTTAGTTGTTCTTGAATTCTCTGTTTGTTTCATGTGCTGACCTGCCTCTCCCTATTTTTTTTAGTCATTGGTTTGCGTGAAAATGCTAAATTTTCACCACGAGCAGGATCTTCAGGAGGCCAAAGAGGCCCTTGATGCCATGACGGTTAGCAAGGATAACGCTGAGGGGAAGGTAAAGATTTTGGCGAACAAGGCCGCTAAGTTGAAGAGGATCAATGATGAACTAGACACCTGCCACCAGGACTTTGTAAAGCTCTCAAACACCCAAGCGAAGAATCGAGAAGCCAAGTTCAAAGCCAAGGATGCCGAGCTGGCGTCCTTAAAAACCAGAGTGTCTGATCTTCTAAAGGAAAGTACTTCAGCCTTTGTGAATGGATTCCTAAACTATTTTGACCAAGTTGANGAATCGAGAAGCCAAGTTCAAAGCCAAGGATGCCGAGCTGGCGTCCTTAAAAACCAAAGTGTCTGATCTTCTAAAGGAAAGTACTTCAGCCTTTGTGAATGGATTCCTAAACTATTTTGACCAAGTTGACGACGCTTATCCTGACCTTGATTTAGACTCAATCCGACCACAGCTTGGTTTTAAGAAGAGATCTGAGGTGTCCAAAGAGGCTGAGGCATCGTGCGCCGAGAAAGAGCTCGTGCCCAAGGTGGAAATTGCTAGAGAGAGGATTAGTGGTGGTAAAGAAGCTGCCCCCTGACGTTGGCTAATGACAGTTTCTTCCCCCTCATTTTTTTGAAGGTCATGTTATCCCGTGGATGACACATTCTTGTATTTTTTGTTTTCAAAGGTTTTTTCATTAGCTTCCTTTTCCCTAAAAATAATATGTATTGCGCCATTGTCTAGTCCTGAAGAGCGGGGGGTCTGGTCTTGACCATGCCCTCGTAAGTTTTGTTGTTGTCCTTAAGAC